TTCCATGACATGTTTTGACTTTTTAACTCACATTTAAAATCCCACAATTATATTGATTGTATATTGATACATTAATATAATAAATCCAATAACAATAAATACATTAGGTTAAATAGTACAGAGATTCTTCTAGAAGGTTCACACTCACCAGCAGGGTCTCCAGGTTGACGGCAGACTGTGGACTCCTCATGAGGGACTCCAGCTTGTTGAGCCGGCTCTCCACTCTGCTCTCTGCTCCCAGCATGGTTCTTACACTTTACACAGTCCAGCTCAAATGACATGAAAATGAACAAAAAGCCACACAAGAGAATAAAAAAAAAAGAAAAACACCCAGAGCTAGCTAACACCTGCGTCGGCTCGGGTGTGAGGAGTCGGTCTGTGTAAGTTCCAGCAGCTCCTCTGTGAGTGGCTGAAACCAGGACTTTATCATCCGAGTGAATTATTTATCCGCTCCTTCACTTCTGCTCCTTTGTCTTCATTAGTCTGTGAGGAGAAAGTGCAAACCGAGCAGAAACTAAAGGCTCGGGAACTCGGGACGTTCAGGTGCGTCTGCTCCACAGGTACACAATAAAATCTGATCCGACCACAACGTGTCTAACCTGTAGGAGTGAGCGCGGTCAAGCTGCACATGGGAAGCACAAGGGCTGCATCCGCCTGGCGCTGTCACAATAAAAGCACACACACTCAACTTGAGAAATGGGGGAAATGAAGACAGAAATCCGTAATACAATACATTTATGGACGATCAATACGATCACCTTAAGGGAGTAGACCTTATAGGTGGCTGTAGTGTAGTTTAACATTAGCTAGTCACAGTTAAAACCTGAAGAGAAAAAAGGGAAGTCCCGAAACTGACTTCTGAAATTTTTATTTTATGCAGTCGTTTACGTGACGACTTTTAAATAAAATAAATTTGGCCAGCATTGATCCCCAATCTAAAATAATCATGGGTTTTTAACACATTTGTTTGGCCAACATTAATAAAATAGAGGGGTAAGTCGAAAGTAAGTGGGCTAGTGTTTTATTTTGAAGAGAGATTCGATTTGTTTTTGTGTGACTTGATTAAACCAATAACGTTCAACCTTTACCTGCAACTTTAATGTCCTTTATGAATGTTGGCCCTTTCTGATCTGCCCCGGTAGGTTTTGCCCCAGTGAAGAGCCACCAGCAGCAGCAGCACTGACCCCAGCGTGGATTCCTGCCCTCTTATCTCAGCCATCAGTTTTACCGTCAGTGCAGGGGGTCGGTATTTGAAGAATGCTGATGCACTGCCTCTAAAAATAGCAGTGAGTGAGTGGAGCCAGACTCTATCTGCTCATCAGAACCTCATCATTGTGTCAGACTCACGGGGACGTCATTATTAGCTCTTGTACACAGACAACGTGCAGCCTTTAAAGGAACAACACAGAGGGACAAAATGTGTCAAAAATCAAATTAAATCGTGCCTCTATGTAACTGCAAAAACTGATGACATACAGTATAATCACTGTTGTTTTCTCTTCTCTCAGAGTAAGTGTGTTCAAAGTCTGGTGTGAGGGCCAAATATGGCACCAGGATTGTTTTGAATTGTAACAATTTCTGGATGATTTAAGTTAAGAATGAACCTTTTACTTACATCTTGTCTGTCTCTCTGTCTTTTTGCTCATTGTTCATATTTCAGAAACTTTTAGCTAATTTCAAAATCCCACCAACCAAAATGTAAAAGCCTGAGAGCCTCGTTCTTAGAATAAATTTTATTTATTTAACTTTACAAACAGGTCTGCACCAAAGCGCTTGGTTACTCAACTTGTTTTCAAATACAAAGAATCTGTGAACAGTCTCTTCAGACAGTGAAGGGCTAAATGTTTGACAAGGGCAGGTGATAAAATATATTTATACATAATTATACATATATAGGTGTGAATTTCCCGTGACAAGAGCACAAAAAACAAAAAAAACAAAAAAAGTGAAACACAAGTACTTTTTTTGTCAAAACTTTGCGTTGACACATACACAGGCCGTATGACGTCACAAATGGCAATGATTAAAATGTGCAATTAATTCAAATCAATATAATGGCAGTCTCAGTAATGTCTCTCCACCCTCCATCTCTTTCTGTATCTTTTTTTGGCCTGTGGCGTCAGAGCGGCCGACCACTTGTTGACACAGTAGCTATTTGAACGTAGTGATGTCATCAGCGAATCAGAGGAGCCGAGGACGATTGTGACCTGTGTTGGTGAGGATGTCGGCTGGAATGAGGGGGGAGATGTGTAGCTGCTGTAGGCACATGTGTACACACATTGACACACACACACACACACACACACACACTGACAGGCAAGTTGAGTTTGCAATGATGGCTGGGGGGCGGAGGGATTTCAGCCACATTTGGAGTT